CTTAAAACACAAAACATTGTCTTAAGGCTGCCTTTAAGGTATAAGACAGCCATTCTGCTCAGGTCCTCGGGCCCGGCTTTTCATCTTCTGGTTAAGGCCTGGTCTACAATGAGTTGTTAATCGTTGGTCAGAAGTCGGAACTATATGTTGATCCTTCTCCTTTCTGGATGGATGAAAAAGGACCGACATATAGTTCTGACTTCTGACTAACAACTCATTGTAGACCGGGCCTAACTGTTGACTAGAAGTTAATCGACTCCCCACCTCTTGCCGCGTTGTTATCTAAGAAGAGACAGAGACTCGACTAACCAGAAAGTGGAAAACCAGGCCTGAAAGGCTCTCGTCGTAGACGCCCCGCGCAAGTGTCCGTCTACGATTCCAAGCCCCAGGCCTTGAGAAATTCACCAATCACGGCCGAAGTGCGGGTAGAACACGCGGCTGTGAATAGTCAATTTCTTAAGACTTGGGGATTCAGATATCTATTGTAGATGGGCACTGAACGACGCTGCCGCTTCCCGTAAGAACTGTAAACACCCCGTGTATCCACGGCTCTCCCGTAACTCCCCGCCGAGCCGTCGGCGTCGAGCCCGCGTTCGAGTCGGCTCGCCGCTCGTTCGACAGTTGAAGAGCGAGGATAAATCGCGGATACGCACCGCGAGGCACGGGCGCTCGCGGCATAAAACGTAACGGGGCGCCGACGAGGAGAGAGCGCGCGGGCGGTGAATCGGGCACTACCGCGGGCGCGATCGAAGGGCGAGAGGGTGGCCGTAAACCGGCGGACGCGTGTCAGCGGGGAACGCGAGCGGTAAAAGTGACGGAAAAGCGGGAAGAACGGGACGAGGGAGAGAGAGAACAGGGTCGCCTTAGCCTCGCGACCGGGAGAGAGGACGAGCGGCGGTGTATTTACCATTTCCGCGCCATCGCGCCGCGTATCGGACTCCAGGTGCGCGCCGCTCTCACGTCCTCGCCGTCCTCATCGTCCCCGGCCGGCGGCGCCTCGTGTCGGTGCCCGCGGACGTGGAAAAAACCCCGCGGGAGAAAGAGAAACGCGGCGGATTGAATCGGAGCGGCCGCCCGCGCGCGCGCGCTCGCGCGCCCGCGCGCACGCACGCCGATTTAATTGCCGCGCGCGAGTGCAACCCGCGGACGCCGATGAGCGTCCTCTCCTCTCCTCTCCGCCCGTCACGCGTCTACCGTCTCCCTTTCTCTCGGGGCTGCACGGGCCCGCTGGTTTGCGAGACGGCACGTTGAAAACACAGCGCGAGATGCGCACACGCGTGAAGCGCGGAACCGACTGGCTCGGCTCGCCCGCCGCGATCTCCGGCCCCTGCGTCAGCGCCACCTGCTCCGCACGGATGCTGCCCCTGCAGCCGTCCGCCCGCGCGAAAATCCCCCGCGCCGCCATGGAGCAAGCGATTCTCGGGAGCCGCGAGCGTCCCGTTTTTATCCAAATGCGAGATTTTCTATCCAGGCATCTCCGGGGGGGAAGAAAAGTCTTTCGTGCGAAATGTCGAGGTGAGATAAGAGTATCTCGACGCGACATCTGACGAAAAAAGGAGAATTATTTCTACCCAGCCCTTTGTGACCGGAACACTTTTATCGCAGCTGGAAAAGGTGCGATCTAAACCGTCGAGTGTTACGCGGCGCGAACGCGACTCGCGTTTGTCAAGGTTTGCCTGCTCCACGGCTATAACGGGCCAATACCTTGGTTTCATTAATGCACAGCCGCATTGCGTCTCTCGATATCGGCGGCTCTGAAATTCTCCGCAATTGAAAGCTCGGATACGGCTCGTTTCGTAAGTGCTTGGCGCGGCCGGAGCGGCCTGCAGGTTCAGCTGCACTCCGGCCAGTTCCGCTCTAACCGGTATTCGCTGCGGCAAAACGCGGGAAGAACGTCTCTCTCTCTCCTCCCTTCCGTAAATCAAAATGCAAAATAGCCGCGCGCGTTTGCTAAACTGGAATTAGGGAACCGTACGCTCCGTCGCTACGCTCGTCGACGTAATATCCGTGACAGCACATACGATAATGATAACGATGCGATAATAGATCCACGCGTTAATGGACAGGCGTGGATCTCGATTTTATCGCGCGGCCGCCCTCGCTTCCCGTCTAATCAACTTCCGAAACGTCGGCCTTTCACCGTGTTTTGCTCCACTTTCATTTTCCTTTGAGCTTTCATTTTACTAATTGAAGAGTTCCTTCCCTTTGCACGCTACGTTAGCCTTTGTCAGCGGACCCGTTTTCCCCCTCGAGCTTTCCGTCGCGTTGGAGTTGTTTATTTCGCTGCAGCCGCGCGATATGAAATAAATGCAGCTTTACGGAGTGCATCTTGAAAAATTACTTCCTTCATTGCCAACTTATTGACTGTAGAATGTCGGGAAGCAAATATTTCCTTCTGCGAGAGGCTCGTTTAAAAATACACCTTTCTCTGATCGGGTCGTTTTCAAATGAATAAAGTTATTCAATCAATTGGCGACGAACAATTGTTGTGAATTAAAATTCGTACGGCTCAAATGTGATAAACAGAAATTTAATGGAACAAAGGACTACGAGCCGTGACAGCGCGTTAGTGTCTAAATATTAGGTGTACAAATGAATAATCCAAACTTTTTTAAGCGACTAAGAAAATAAGTTTCAAATAATCTGAGTTTTCCGCTCTTTTAAGATTATGTAGCGTTGACACGTAGCTATGAAAAATTATATTTAGTATGGCGGAACATAGCCACAAAAATTATTCAGTTTCGTAAAGTCGAAAATGGCAACGGATAAGGTGCATATCCGAAGACACAACATTTTTCCGAGATGGAATTCATCAATTACCTGACAGATGGGCTTAAAGTTATAGAAAGCAACGGCGAATACTTTGATTGACAAATTTGTCTTACTTTCTTTTAAAACAAATCTTTAATGTAGCTGAAAAATTTGTATCATTCATTTGTACACCTAATATTTCATATTTTTAAATTTATCGCGAAAAATATTACCTCAGCCAGGGCTGTTATGAAGGAGCCATTGTGAAACTGCAAAAAGAAATATACAATGAAAATTTAATATAAAACGAGAGCTGCGTATTTTTAATATCATCGTCCGTTGCAAACATCACAATGCGCGCTAGGATTAATGACGTTGCGAAAAAACAACTGTCAAGATCACGCGCATGTAATGTCTTTCGCACTTGCATATTTTGTTTAGTCCCTCGCGTCGACGAGCCCCTTTGTAGAAGCGTAAGCGAAATAATTGCTAGGAAATGACATCAAAGGGCGATTTTTGAAATTTTCGCCGTCGTCGCATCCAGGGAATATACATTCTATTACGAGTTGCTAAACTGTGTCAACAAGGTGATTTTTTGATAACATGTACGAGCTGTTCAATTACGCGCCGAAACGCACGGGAGAAATCGCGAATGACGTTTGAGAAGCTGAACAATTTCACTCTTACAGGCTGCGCCTTACGCGCGACAAAAGCCAATTGTTATACACGCGCGTCTCGTAAACTCGCAATAATCGACATACATGAACCTTATGACTGGAATGGTAATCGTGAATTCTCGTCTACCCCGATATGTCATTCGATTACAACAGATACGCGTATGTACTAAGTGTTAAATAATTGTCAAGTTAATCAGTCGCACGATTTTGCCGAATTTTTCGGGCACATGCGGAACGGAGGGAATGTGTTATTTTTCAGGCTGAATTATTGCAAAATTAACTGTAATTCGTATATCTATGCCGCGAACATTTCGTTGATATTTCGCGCTGAAACATTGAGAAATACATGCATTCTATAGGTCTCTTTCAAAAGGAATCACACATATATTAATCCTAATTGTTTGTGTCTGAAATTCACCGAATAATTGGCGCATTCTGTACCCATTACGCCGTTTAATTAATTTAATTTCGAGAAACAAAAGGAGAGCGTGTTGAGATAAATGATGATCTTACGCGCCATGGGCTCCTTATATTAACCCCTTGTTTAGCCGCATAAGAAATTCATCAAAAACTGAGATAAAGCCTGTTATAACTTTGTGACGTAATAAAGTGAACGAGGGTAACAAATTCATGAACGTTGCGAATTAAAAGGATTGGACGTGAAAATTACATGACACGCCGAACTTTAACGCTGTGTCAGAACTGTGGGCGAGTGCGAGCTGAACTTGCATTTCTCTGCCGCATAGGCGGTAATGAAACGAGCCGTATCGAGCTTTGAATTACGAGAAAATTAGCTCTCGATATCGAGAAATTCAAAGCGGCTGCGTGCTAATAAACCAAGGTATTATCTGGTTGCCATGGAACAGCTAGTCAAACGACAGATTTTGAATTTCCGCCGTTTAATATTCAACATTTTATAATCCCAAGGTACTTACAACCCTTAAAAATCGCCTTTATATATTTCTTATCAATATGAAATAGTTTTGTCAAACTTGGAAAACAATTCGTGTTATTTGTTTCGAAAACTTCTTCCATAGTTTTCTCAATAGTATCAAAGTAATCTCGAATTTTTCGGTATTTTCATATACGAAAACTTCTGTAAATACTCTACCATATTAGCCGTGAGTGTATTAACTGTTATTTGACACGTAATATAATGCAACGTATTTATGTATTCAATGAAATTAAATTCTTGCGATACTTTGATATGCAGAATACGACGCGACGAGCTTAATTATGTTGTGTAATATTATTGTGAGGCAATATCGGTACGGGTCGCCATATAATCATGTTAATTAATGCATACTAGAGTACACGGATTTACCGCAATTACCGCTTCTATCCGTTTTGTCATTAATCTTCCTCTCCATTCTCGTGCGCCGTACACTCGTGGCGCGCGCATATTTGGACATTTAACAATCAGCGAGTAATGGTAGGTGCCCAATAATTTATGCGCCCCAAGAACGGCTGAACTTTACACGATTGCAGATAAACGGAGACTAACGCCGCTATTATTTCGTTGCGCTTATCTAAGACGGGGGGGTTTGACGCGAAGAGAAAAACAACACGGCACGCGATCTTCCTTCGCATTTATTGACCTAGGACTAAAAATCTTTACATTCGAATCCCAGTCGAACTTATATAAAATCATCTTGGATCATTCTATCCTTAGTCTACCTTGCCGAGACACATCGTTGACCTATTTAACGTAGTACCACGTAGTCGCGCAGGTATCTCCACAGGAAACATGCAAGATGTGTACTTTGCACGTGCGACATACATAAACGATAAACGATACATACAAAACCTTAATACACATTGCTATTTTGTATATAGTATTACGAACATATATAAATAAAATAGTATTTATATCTTTCCTTTTTTTTAAAGACATCTAAACGTACGCATGCTCTGTCGCTAGGTGGTATAGTCATATGTCAAAATTCATGCAGTCTTTTTTAAATTACAAGAGTAGATCATAACGCGTGAAATGTCTAAAAACGAGAAGATGTTTGATTAGATGGATACGTTGTGTATAAAATCGAGATACATTATACATTGAAGAGCTTAAAAATAACATTATTATAGTATTTTCGATCTTATGAGATCGTGTAACTATTAATATACTTATTTATATATTTATATATACACACTCGGTAAATGAAATTAACCTTTTGACTCGTGGTTTAAGATATTATCTTCTCTCTCTCTCACACACACACATACACGCTCTTTCTCTGTCTCTCCTTTTCTGTTTCAAATTTAACAAATTTCTAATAAATTATAAAATTATATAACACTCTTAATTCCTTAAATTACGGTAAAATAGGCCAATTGACTTTCGTTTAAGGTTGTCTCCTCAGTTAAAAAAAACAGCTCATTTTTTTTGGAAAGTATCGATAAATATCAACATGTCATCACTGCATTGCTCTTCTTTCTAATATATCATTCTATCATTATTCTTTCTAATAAATTCATTTATTCCATAACATTCTGCGTTTGTTATACACTAGGTAACAAAATTACATATCAATCACATGAACGGAGATGACGTAAATAGGGCAAAAGATTCCTCGAACTTGGAAGCGTGCTCACAAATTATCATTACGTTTTATCTCCGTATAAACATATCGTATCATTCAAAATTGCACAATTAAACGCTATCGGACCAGGCGGACATTCTATTATTATATTATCACTCATATCACTGACCTAAAGCTAATTGAATGAAAAAATGATCAGGAATAAACGTAGAATTGTTTTCCGCAATTTTCACGAAAATAAAATACGCCTGATTAAACCTACGAAAATAGTGTGCGTTTTTTCATTCTCATTAATTGTACGAAATTGTTCAAACGCACATCTTATTAATCTCAACGACATTCATTTAATGACTGCATGTTTCATTTAAATGCACGTTACATATACCTTATCAATACGTTAGGCTTTACTGAAATTCATAAAATTGAAGGAAGCGAAAAACTAACGAACCGTACATAATATCGAAACAAATGCGTTAAAAAAAAGAAAACAAAGTTTTATATATATATATATATTGTTGCGTGATATATGATACACGCATGCGAGATGCCATTGCGCATATTAAACACATACATATGTCATATTTGTGATGTTATGTACATTATACGTCGAAAGATACTTAACCGAACACTCGTAGGCACTTATAAAAAGCACATAATATATGTATAGTTCTTAATTATTACTACATGCTTTATAAAGGAAAGGATGATTAGAACAGACCAGGTATGTTCCTTTGTCGTTCGTCTACTACGTCTGGAAATGAAATTAGGTGACAAAAATAGCGTACAATTTTGAAAATAAAGCTACATAGTATGTAGATAATTCATGTGCTGATATCAAGAAAGTTTTTACATTAAAAATATTGGGGAGACTAATTCATTTACAAATGTAATTGGAACATACTCTTATATAAATTGTAAAATTATAACCATTTCATAAAGTTGACTTCAATCACTAGTAAATAAATTCTATTTTTTTCTTAAATGCTACTCACTTGGGAATTGTATGACACTCGAAGTGTTTTAAATTTTTTGAAAGATACACTTCCGAATCATTATAAAACATATTCTATCACGTTAATAATAATGTAAATTTTAATATTTCTTTTTCTTTCCGTATGTCAATGTATACTGAATAGAAAAAAAAATACATAAATCTAACATAATGCATAAAAAGCAAGTAAGTAATACAGTTTTATGAGCAACACTGTACTAAATTGACGGTTTTTGCATATCATTCAAAAATTCCCTTAAATATGTCATGAACTCTACCAGACCAGTAGATACAGATTTATCCACGACGGTTTGTGGTATCCAACCTTTGAAATTTGTATTCAGAATCCATGTGAAACGACATTTATTAATTTCGTCGGGTAATTCCTCTGTTGCGAAACAGCTTATACCATTTTCACCCCTTGAAGAAAACATTTAAAATAATAGCTAATAGCCTTGTTGTTCCTCTTGCTGTTTTTATTTTCTTATTATAAAATATATACTTGAGGGTCTCACCTTGTCACGTTTGGGCGAATTTGAACTGACTCGGTAGTAACCGATACACCACCAGAGATATAGTAATTGCCACACTTCTTACGATGTCTTAAAATAACGAAATCTCGTGCCGTAATGAGCCCGCCGCCGAAAGGACTTGTTGCTTGGTAAACAATATCCGTGTTTTCGTCAATATTCTGTTAAAAATAAATTATACTATCAATATAACAAAGTATTACAGTAGGAAAGAAGGCGGTAAAAAAAAACTAGTTTTACTGACCTGTAGTTTTATCGATTCTGTCACGAGTTTATTCCATAAAGTTTGTTCCTCGATATTATCATATAATAAATCTATCAGTAGGCTAGCAGGTGCGTCGACGATACCCTTAAATGTTAATTAAATCGGTTTAATTGTTTATAAAATGAGAACATTTCTTCATTGCCAAAAATTTGGCATTTTGTAAATTGATATATCCTTAATTTACACTACAATGCAGCTTACCGTGATCTTTAGGACTTTTCCGTCTACTTTCCATTCTGGTGGAAGCTGCATGCAGGACACCTCATCGCCGTCGTTTGTCAGAATTGGGTCTTTCCATTCTTTAGATGTTAACAAGTCATGACAATTTTGTAGTATGTTAGATGCCTTGGTTTTATACTCATTGATCTAAAAAAAACACACATAAAAGATCCTAATTAATTAAACCTGCTTAATTAATATTTAAATGTTTAATAAGTATCTCTTTGTATTGGAATGGAAATTGGAACAGAAATATTATAGATATTATTGTTGTTCTAAACTGTAGTTAAAACGTCATATCATTATAATCATAAATAAAAGTGAATAAAAGTGCACGCTTGATCTTCCGACCTGTTATTGCGTTAACGATAAGTAATACGACCGATTTGTTGCGCTTGCAAAAATATAACTGACGAGTGTATTTCTTTGATTACAATTTAGTGCGCGTGCACTCGATAATTTGAAATGCGTTCAGTACGAATGTACGAGACATTAATCGATAATGAGTACACGCGTTTCGGGGACACAAATAATATTCTTTGTCCTCAAGTAAATCAAAACGTTGTATCTATTGTCGTATCTCGGCTACAGTAAATATTCAAATATTCTTGTGATAAACTTGATAAAAATTTAATTTTCTTAAAACTTGAATTATTTTTTTAATTCATTGACGCAGACTTTTAGATATTTAAATACGTTAATTTCAACATAAAATAATGATTGATTCGTTATTTGTAAAGAATTTTAACGACGACGTGTAAACCAACAAGTACAAGCTATCGTAACTGTGTATAGGTTGCTATGTGCAATACGTATCTATACAGTATAACATGCAAATTTTTCATCACTGAACAATTTTTCACCTCTTCCTTTCTTTTAATTCATTATGATCTTATAGAACTACATAATACTTTCTTACTTTATAACATTCTATTAAAAAAATATTAATAACAATATTATATTCTCTAATTTCTTTTTTTCTTATTTTTTCACTTTGCTTTATTTTCTTACTTTTTAAAACATTAAAAGGCGAAGATTATTCATTTTCTCGTGACTTACAATTACTTACAATACGCGACTCGGTCACAGTACACAGATGAATTTTAGATGAAGTCACATTTAACACTTATCTGAATAGAATTAATAAACAATACATGATATACACATTATTTGTAATAAAATCGTAAAGTTGCAAAAATTTAGTTTTATCTATTTAGTTTATTCATGCAAAATTCTCTTAATTCTCTTACGAATCCAGTATTTTAACAAATGTACATATAGTTAAAATAAAATAGCGTCCGTGTATATAATGCGTAAAATATTTCATTGTACCTTGATTAATTAAATTCCATACTTACATAAATTTTTCTTCACAATTATATTTTATAATTATTTTCAAATTTGAACAGAAGACAAATCGATCTGATATCACAAAGCTAATAATAAGTAGATGAAATAACTCACTACAAGTATTTTATTGAATGCTGAGTATCCTATCAATCTTTCCTTTATGCACCAATTAGTCTCTATAGGTAAATACTTCAAGGCATCACCCAAGAAAAAGGGACGTATAACTGACTGAATAAAATGAACGATTACTAACATTATGTAAACCACACTTAATCAAATGTATTTAAAGATTAAAATTTAATGTGAGAAAGTGCACAAGAAAAATGGTTTAACACAAGCCACTCATCTAGCTGCTTTGCGCGAATAAGTTTTATAATCAACTAAAGATAGCATGTTTCACGAACGTCTTTTTACTTTGCTACTCCCGTAATACTGCCTGTGCCTCCCCACCAACATCACTTATCGCTTACTGTTTGAAAAGATATTTTTTAAAGAATTGTTATAGACAGAGAAATAGACTTGATATTGAACATATATTTTTATCATATATGTATGTGTATACTTGATATATGAAAGTGTTTATATATTCGAAAATATTAATTTTTTAGTCCATGTTTACTGGAACTCGTATGCTCCATTTCACAAATATTATCTGCTCTTAAAGACCTGGACTCTTTTCCTTTAATATCGTGTATATTACCAAACTTTCTAAGGCCCACTTTACACGATCTATAATTCGCAACAGAATTCGAGACAGAATTCCATTTTTAAATTTTTATGTATCGTGTACTTAATACAGAAAACATTTGAACAATCAGAATTATAATTATAATGCTCCAATTTTGTAAATAGAAAAGATGCATCAAATATGTGTAGTGCATGAAAATGCGTGATTGATTAATTGTATCTGGTCTGATGAAAAACCTTAAGCATTGATTGCTGTATTTGTGTCCAATCGGCCGGGAAAACGGGCCTCATCCATATGTAAATGTTATAACCTACACTAACCTAATCTACAAACATATGTCAATTTAATATATGAAATTATAAAACAGAATTCTATCTTGAATTCTGTCGCGAATTATAGATCGTGTAAAGTGGGCTTAAGAGTTATTGAGTCATTAAAATACTCACTAATACAGTATATAAATATTGCGTCCAACCAAAAGCAATTAATGTTAAACAATAACTAAAGTCAAGGTACAATGGAACATATATCTCTTTTTTCCTTGAATGCCTGTTATAAATTAATCAACGCAATAAAAAAAGTTCACTAAAAAATTCTACTAACCTTGTCGGGTGTAAGTTTTATTAGGAACTTAAATAATTCACTGGATCTTGAGAGCTTACTCGAGTCTCCTTGTTTCCTGGGAATGTCTTCATCGTCAGAATGAGTTGGGGACTCCACAGGTGTGAAAAATGTATTCATGTGATCGACATTTGCCGCATACTGTCGTGCTTGAGTAACAATGCCTTGTAATAATGGAGTTCTTTCTGTATCCGGAAAGCCTGTGAATTTCGTAAATTTGTAGATATTTTTTTATTTTTAAATTAAAGCCAAAATTGAAATTAAATATCAAATTTACTTTCAATAATACTCCTCACTTCGCATGCTATTAATGTTCTTGTGAAATATTAGAGCAATAGAGACATAAATAATAAAAAGTGTAAGAGGACAGTGAGAATAATTACACAATTGCCGGTGTGTGAGTAATTTTATCTACATATCCAAAGATTACATCTTCGTAAACGAATCCTTGATATGAGTGAATGTATATGGATTAAATTACTCACGCACCGACAATCGCGTAATGCTCTCTTATACTTTTTATTACTTTATATTATCGAGAATAGTTTCAATTTATGATTCTACATAAATATTCAAGTCTACAGTGTTATTTTTATCCCGTGTTATTTATCGATTAACGGTTTGAAAATAAGAAAAAAAATTACAATGCTGACAGAAGAGAGGCTACTTACTTCGAATCCAATCTCTTGCTTGAGTTTCCTGAGGTATCACGCGAAAATCAAAGAACCAAGCCTCTGCCCATGCTAACACAAAAGACGTCAAGATCAGCAGAACTTGAAATACTGGTTGGTTAGCTGATTTCCACTGGAAACGTGATGCATTGAATGAGTCAAATAAATAATAATATTAAAGACAATACACAAGTATTTAAAAAATACTTACATCGAAAAGGAAAACTTTGGCAATTAAAAAGGCACATGTTGTGGCAGTTGATATCTGTAAAATACAAAAATTACTCTTTATATCACATATATGTATATGTGTTTTTTAATTAAGTCTGTAATCGAGATGAAAGTATTTAACTCTGTTTTATTTGCTTCGTCGTTTAAACATCTGTTATAAGAAAATTTTTCTTTTACACGAAGATGTTCAAATAATAACTATACTCACAGCTACGATAATCCAATGATCGAGATACAGTAGCGCGTAAAAGAGCAACAAGACCGTGAACCTGCAAATCGCTGCCATCTGAGGAGATGAAATCCGTAAAATCTCTGCTCCCAGTGAATAATGAAAAATTATGACGAACTAAATGTCACTGTCGTCATTTCGTTATTAAACTCATTACTAATGACTGATAGAATATACTTACTACAATGTCAAACAAAGACGTCTTTATATGATAGTGTATCACCTGATCTATGAAAGCTACACTTAAACTTTCACCTGCAATCTGCAAATAATTTTTAAAACCTTTTACAAAGATACACGATAAATGTAGTGTACTTTTTTCATTAATGAGTAATACGCTAACGAAAATATGTAGCAAAAGATGTTTTATTTACAAATGCGTTGCTATTGTGATCAATGAAACCAAGCAAACTACGTGTAGAAGAAAGTCCCCTATTATGAGTTAGGTTTCTAATATGAGACTGCAAGTTTTCAACACCCAAATTCAATTACAAATCTTTTTTCACTGCGATTATACGATGTAACAATGAATTTGCTACTAAACAGATTTCGCGCCAAGGGCAATAAATCCATGGTGGAATCAACAGATGATGCGTATTAATTTAACAGAAATTCCGCCATTTCGTATTAGGAGCCTATTTCGTACTAGGGGACTTCCCTCTATTATCAAGATCAAAAATACTTGGGCAAGATCAGGTTTTCGACGATTGATTGAACATTTAGATAATATCGCGGGTTCTAGCGTACCATTGTACAAATGAGCCACATGAGGAATGTAAGAAGAAGATCGAAGGTGATGAAGAGGCAGAAGAAACGTCTAACATTCGACATTCTGCCGTTGTGTCTTGCTCCTGCAATTAGATCTTCGCCGAGAACGATATCTGGCGTTCTCGCCATGCTATGCTGTGTAACCGAACTCCTTTGCGAGTTGATAGAGCCACTTAGTATAGCTTCAGCGGCCATCCTAATTTGCCTCTCATCTTCCGTCATTCTTCGGGTATGCTGTTGATGTCGTCGCCGTAATGTCGACCTGCAAGAAAATGGCATATATGTAGCAAATATTTGCACATTAGTTCAGTAGAAATGGACAGCAATAACCACTTGCTTCAGTTTTCTACACTGTAAGCAAGCTTTTAATATTTAGCCTTTCTTATGACAAACGTATCAGAGATCGTTGCGATATTCTCAAAAATTAAGAATAAAAGTGTTTCTTGAAAACATGATAAATGTCTTTAGGTTGCCAGTAATAATCCAAAAGTGTATCTTATTATTATAATATATTCATTGTGTCTATTAATCAACACACTTTTCAAAACAACTTGCATACGATGGAGTATCTGCAAAAATATTGATAACAGTTTACACAGCTACAAAACTATGATAAATTATACCGCAATTTCTGCACGTGCGGAAATACACAGAACGTAGCAATTAACATATGTATTTCGTTTTCTATAACGAAGAACTTTCTTTTTATAACGGAAATCTGCGTTTCCCATCATGAAAGAAATGAAGATTTTACGCAATTTTCGGTTTTAGTGTTGGAATTGTGTTGGAATTAATTAAAATTGCACAATTAATTTGCGACTTGCAACGTTTAACGATGAGGACATTATTAGTGGGTTATGTTATTATATACTGATATGTCTGAATGATAAGATGCAATGTCTGATCTTCAGCCTTATAATACGTGTATTATCATGTACATGTATTGTCACACATACGACGTGCTCTTCCATAAACAATTTTCCAGACTGAATCACAGCTGATAGCGTATCGGATCAAGACGGAATGCACATCCATTTTTGTCCTGTGTCACGTTTAATATTAAAACTCAGTATAATACAAATAGACAAATTAACTGTGAATTTTGTACCAAGCTCACACCTCGAACGAAGCTCGAACGAATGTTCGACAATTTGGAATCTAGAATAGAACTTCATTTACAATTTATGTGCCGTGTAAAACAAAGGTATTAAAAGAAGTGGAAATATAAAATATATTTGGAATCAAACTTACATCAAAATACGCAACGTACAAAATTATAAATAGAATTCTATCCTGAAATCTGACGCAAATTATAGATTATCTCGAGTGATCTCTGTTTAATCTTGACGCAATCTAAATCGTCATATTAGTTTTAAAAACGTTTATCTTCACATCGCGATATCATTCGCTGTGCATCCTTCTGCAACTCAATGGACGAAGAACTCGCAGGGAAATAAAAAATTAGGGAAAAAAAGCGTTTTGCTTGACTCTTTCCTCTTGGATCTCCTCGCAGATCTCACTTGAGAGTCTTCTCGCTGTGTCATACAAACACGCAGGAATTGTTTCTCAAAGAAGGAAAGAAAGAAAAGGAAACGCTGTTATACCTGACACAGGCGTAATATAGCAAGTACAGCTTCGTTAAATTGTTTTGGCACGAATCTAGGAGGAATATTCCACTTGTCGCGTCGCAGAGGTTAATTCGACGTCCTAACCTCAAACTCGCCGACGCGGCTGTTTACTCGGTCGCCGTGACGCGGGCGGACGACTCGAGAGGAAAAACCTCATCGAGGGAGCGAGCTGGGCGCGTTCTCGCCGTCGCTCGGGAGACACTCGCGTCGCGAACAAAGGCACCGTCTCGCCGACCTTCGGCGGCACCGACCGCGCTTCCGCCCGTAATTTATTCCTTCCTCTCATTCCTTACCGTTCCGCGGCCGGGAGCTCTCATAGATACGGCCAGGAAGTCGAGTCGGGTATCGGCGAAACGATGTCACACACGTGCATCGCGTCGCATGCCTCCGCGCGACGAGGAGGAGACCATTACACGGTTGGGCCGAGCCGCGTATCACCGAGTATAAACAAGAGAGCGCGCGGTGACGTTTTCAGTCACGCCTGCAGCTGGGCATTTCGGAGTCGCTGCTAACATAAAGAGCTGTCAAACGTGTCCACTTGCGGGTGTGCTCCGCGGCTAAACTTGTTGCACTTTTCATCCTTCTTCTTGTTCTCTCAAACGACCCCAACGTCTTATCGTGTATGTGTCTTTCTCGTGCCAGGTTCATCTCAAGTGGAGAAAGTGCAACGTGGTGCAGCCGCAAGGAGCAACTCTTGCGTGTGTCACGGATATAAAATAACTAGAAGTATAAATCTCTGCGGGATTTTCGTATAAGTGTTGGGATGTTAGAAGGGCGATTATTAAAAGTCCTAAAGCTAAATTAAAGAACAATATGGCATCACTGAAACTAAGTTTGTAAGTCTAATAAGAATAGTGATGAAATAGTGAATAGAAAAAATTGATTTTGTCCCAAGATCGAGAGTGCGAAATAAAAGCAACGCTAATTTATGTTCATTCAATGTTAATTTTTCTATATATACACATATGTAATTGCACAGTTTCTTGTTGATAATCCCCTCCTCGGGTACTACCTTGTCGTGGTGGAGGGGCTTAAGTACCCTGAGTCCCAGTCTACAATAGAGATTTAAGCCCTAAGCCTTAAGAAATTGACTAATCACAGTCGCGCATTCTACTCATACTTGACCGTGATTGGCCAATTTCTTAAAGCTTAGGACTTAAATCATCTATTGTAGACTGGGACTGAAGGGTTGCTCTCTAAAGGCCTGTGTCCACGATGCTAGGACTTGG